TTTTGCCCCTCGCTGCCCCCTCCACCCGTGAAGGCTTCACCAACAGCCTGGACTGCTCCAGCATGTACCGCTTGTACTGGTTCTTCATCGCATTCCTGTTCGGTAAGCTGCTGGGGCAGGCACGCTTTACCAGCGCACACCCAAGCATCGCCGCGCTGCGGTGGCACCGGTCGAGAGCCCAGCTGCAGCCAGGTCGCCGCACGCTCCAGTCAGCCTGAAAGCAGCACCCTGCACAGCGTGCGGCATAGTGAGCAGCTGGCTAGGTAGTTTTGTTGGTGACATTTGGTTCGGTTTTCGCATCCTTGTCGTCAGTGCAAGCGCACCTGACCACACAGATGCACCAACATCACCCAAGTTGACCCCCGGCCCAAACCATCCCTGGCGTGTCCAAAGCACCCTGCCCAAACACCCCCTGCCTCATGCCCCCCCCCCACGCCGCGCCACACCCACAGTCACGCTCATCGGCCTCGCCATCGCCGCCGGCACTGGGTGGCTCATCGCGAGCGCGCTGTCGTGGATGGCGTGGATGGCGGTGCTGTCGGTGCTCTTCATCATCGCGGGCGACGCCTTCCTCGGCCTGCGCGACGTCGCATACATCAGCCGGGTGCGCGCTTTCAAAGCTTCAAAGCCCCAACAAGCTCTGTGTGGTGCGTGCAGATGTGTGGGCCGCAGCAGATAAAGTTGGTGGCGCAGCGGTCCACTTGTGGACTGCGGACTGGAAGAATCTCCTGAGCGCGTTCATCATGTGTGGTGCGTGTGGCAGCCAGATGATTTGGTGACGCCCGCAAAGCGACCCTCTCCTCGATGCGTGTACCTTATCGTCCTCACTCGGCGAGACCCCCTCTTGCCGTTTGCACACTCTCGCTGGAGCCTCCTCTCAAGCCGCTTGTTAACCCTTGCTGGCCTGTCAACGCCGCCGCCACACCTGCGCACTCGCTCACCCGCCGGCCCACCCACCTGCCCGCTGACCCACCCGCCTGCACCTCCAGGGTGTGTGGTGGTCCCGCGCCGCCACCACGGCGGCCGGCATGATCCTGAGCGCGATCTTCTGTCTCGCCCTCGCCTTCCATCTGGGCTGGCGCCAGCGCCGCGCGGGCGCCGGAGGGGCGGGGCCGATGAAAGTGTGAGGCGGCACGACACCCGTGGGCCCAAAGCACACGGCCGGTGCTAAGGCGAGAGGGCTTTCTGCGGCGACTGGTTTGACCAACGGGGTTTGGAACAGGGCGGCTCGCCGCATGTCCTTGCAGTTCGTTGTGACATCAAAAGAACTGGCACTAGAGAGCCGCGATGCGATGTCAGTCAGGCTACACGGCGCATGCCATTTAGTTGTGAAACTCATGTGCTGATGCACTCTGGCGCTGCCGGCCGCCTGAGCACGGGTGAAAACCACTGCAGTAGGCCATTCATCCGTTTCTGCATGTCTAGTGTTGCTTGTTGCTTGCACGTGTAAAGACAGAAGGACTGCATGGTACCGCGTGGACGGCTGGTGTGATTGCATGTGTATCATCCTGAATCGTCGTAAACAAAGGCTTGGAAGGGGTGCTCCGGTCATGTGGTCTGGCAGCAAGCTAGACAGTGTGTGGGCTGGCAGCTGCAGCCCAGGACTGCAGCGCACTCCATCTCCAACACAGCTACAGGCGGTAGGCCCAACACAGCCGCGCACCTGCAAATGCGTGCATACTCAACGGCTCCGGCTCATGTTTTCTCTGCATTGTGTCAGACAGTCAGGTGCTCGCTGCAGCGTGCAGATCTGCAGCAGTGCTCACCGCGCGTGTCGTCAGCGTGCAGTCACTCGGGCACGACAAATAAACTCGCTCGACACGATTCCTGGCTGGGCCTATGAGCCGAAGGAATCGAGCTGTGACAGTTTGCTGTGAGCCGGTGCTTGTCACCGCATGCGAGCAACGACAGCTGTGAGGCGACTCGGAGGCAACAAAGTGACAACGGCAGCGTCGACGGCACCGAGGATGGTGAAACCAATCCGTCACTGGTGATGATACGATTACTGAATTTCTGTTTGCTAACTAAGGAATTGTCCGCTATACTATATACACAGCAAGCGTGTTAGATCAAACATCAGCATTTGTGCAACACAGGTGCGCCAAAACTATGCTAGCTCGACTTCAAAGATTGCCAGGCCGACATACAAGACCACCGTTTCACTGCCATGCAGCATCGCTGCCGGTCGTCCCCAGCCTCGACGGCGGCCGCCGCACTCTGAGGGATGTCGCCGCCAGCGCGGCCGCTGCGAGCAACCGCACATCCAGGCAGGGCGAGGGCAATGGTGGCAGCACAGCAGACCGCAGCGGCCGCGAGGACCGCAGAGCGTCAACCTCTGGGCGCAGTGGGGGCGGCCGAGGGCGCGGCCGAGGGCGCAGCAGCGGGCGCGGCGCCGGGCGTGGCGGCGGGCGGGGCGGTGGTGCACAGAAGCAGCGGCAGCAGCAGCAGCAGCAGCAGCAGCACGGCGCCGCAGACGCGAACTTGCCGCGGCCGCCAGCAGGCAAACCTACTGGCAGCTGGCGGCTGTTCAATCTCAAGATTTTCGCTGAGGATGACCCCGGGAAGGTATGGGGGGCTGGTGACACGAACCCATGGCAAGGGGGCCTGACGGCGGCCCTACGGCAGGCGTCAGCAAGGCAGGCAGTGCAACAGAGTCTGCGCCGACTCTGCACCAGCTGCAGCGAAATCGCCGTGGCCGCGGCGCGTTTCTGCAGTGGCGCACGCCTTGGTCGCTCGTGTCGCCACGCGTCGTCGTCCCCAGGGTGCGATGACGCCCCCCAACGCCGCAGGACGACCTGTCGGTGCACGAGCAGCTGCGGGCGGCCGCCCAGGAGCGCCTGGGCTGCACCAGGCAGCTGCGCGCGGGCGCAGTAACAATGGTGGGTGGCTGGGTGGGTGGTGGGGCGCTTCTGGGTGTGTATGAATGGCTGGCGCCTCCGCTGCATTTTGCCGGTGTTTCTGGCCACGACATGCATGAGGGAACGCGGCACCCTGCGGTTGCCGACCGGCCGGAGAGTGTCGCAACGTGCACCCCAATCCCCAGCCTCTGCGGCCGCGCCCTGCGTCCCTCCCCCCACTTTTCCCCGCCACCGTGCACGCGCCTCAACTGGCGATCGTAAAAATCCCTCACAGGTGCGCAAGGCGTTTGACGCGCGGAGGTACAAGCCCAAGATGTGGGCCTACGTCGTTGATGTCGATGCAGCCGCCGCGGCTGCGGCCGGCGCGGCGGGCCTCGAGCCGCGGCAGGGGCTTGTGGAGTGGTGAGCGCTGCGCGCGAGCCCGGGCGTGCGTGGGGTCGCGGCTCCGGCGGGCGGGCTGCCATTCACCTTTGGCCTACGGCTCGCCCCTCCTGTTGCGCAGCAACTGTGGCTGCCCTCCTGACTTTTTGGTGGAATGGTTGGCCCGAAAGGGCAATACACCCTCCCAAATACCCCTTATGTTTGCATGTTTCAGCATGTATATGGCATATTTTTATTCTGTGATATATGTGTGTGTATGTGATCCAACCAACCAGCCAACGATTGCGCCGCCGCAGGCTGGCGCCAGGAGAATTGGATGTGCTCGCGGCTGCCAACGACGCCTCACGCAGCAGCGGCGGCGCCACGGCCCCAGCCCACCTAATCACGCCCGACGCGGCGTTCCTCGCCCCCGTCGGCGGCGCCGCGGGCGGCGCGGCGCGCGAGCCGGTGGTCGTGGTGGGCGCCGGCCCAGGCGGGCTGTTTGCGGCGCTGGCTGCGGCAGAGGCGGGGCTGAGGGTCGTCCTGCTGGAGAAGGGGCAGGCGGTGGAGCAGCGGGGCCGCGACATAGGGGCGCTGTTTGTGCGGCGACGGCTCAACCCCGAGAGCAACCTATGCTATGGTGGGTGGGTGAGGGGAGTGCAGGCGGTGGTTTTGGGACGCATAAGGTCACATGCCAGGGCGTCACCAGGGGTGTGTGTGCCAGGTTGCGGCCCTGACTCGACATCACCACGCGCTTGCTCGCCAGGCGCCGGCTGCGATCCTCAAATCGTGCCCTCTCCCTAAGCCGCCCCCTTCCCCCACTGACAGCGCCCGTTCCTCTCCTCCCTCCCTTCCCCCGCTTCAGGCGAGGGCGGCGCGGGCACCTGGAGTGACGGGAAGCTCACCACCCGCATCGGGCGCAACAGCGACCCCGTGAGGCGCGTGCTGACGACCCTCCACGCCCTCGGGGCGCCCGATGTGAGCCCACCGCCGGCCCGCCGGGGGATGGATCCCTGCAGCTTGGCCCCCGCGGGATGCACCTGCCGACATCGCCGTTGGGCCATGTTGTCAATTTCGCACACCGAGCATTGGCTGCCACTTTTGATGGATGGGCCCAGCACTGCCGCCCCCTCCCCTGGTTGCTAGCAGACTCGCACTTGTTGCAGGCCCTCTCGCCTCCTGCCTTGACGCCGCCACGCTCAACCTGCTACATGCTCAAACTGCCTAACTGCTCCCAACCGATCATGACCTCCCCCGACCGCTCCCAACCGCCAAGGCCGTCCTCGTCAGCGGCAAGCCCCACATGGGCACAGAGAACCTCGTGAGGATCCTCAAGAACTTCAGGGCCCACCTGCAGGTGAGAACTTCACGATGCCGGCGGAGCAACCATTCGAACCCTGGCTGGTGGGCATCACAACGGCCTTGCCGTCGCAAACCTTTAGGTCAATGGCGCAGTGGGGTGGAGACAGCCACTCAGGCTGTCAAGCCCTGAAAGGTCACGAAAGAGAGGCTCGGCGTACGAAGGCGCAAGCAGCCGCTCCATCCCCTGACCGAGTGCTGCGTGATTGATGACGTCATCACACGTGCCGCCACACCATGGTGGCGTCACCTCACGCAGGCGCTGGGCGTTGAGGTTAGGTTTGGCTGCTCCGTGAAAGATCTTATAGTGGAGGGCGGCAGCACAACGGGCGTGATCTTGGAAGGTGAGACGGCGGTTAGGGGATACTGGTTGATTGGATGTGCTGCTGCCTCATGCGGCACAAGTGTTTGTTTGCTGCAGTGCGCAACACAGTTTTTGCAATTTGTCAAGGGAGCCAAGGGGATCAGTCAGTGGCTGACCTGGTCTTCAAGAGTGCCGTAAGATACTCTTGCACTCATGGCCTACGCGGCAAGGGCAGCTGCTGGCCTCGGCACGACGGGCAGCACCTCGTCTGCTGAATTCTGCCCTGACCCCTTGACCTGCACGCGCGAACATGCGGCAACGTCTGCAGGGGGCGAGGCGCTGCGCGCCAGCGCTGTCGTGCTGGCGCCGGGCCACTCCGCGCGTCCGCTGTACCAGACGCTGGCGGCCCGCGGCGTGGCCATGAGCGCAAAGCCGTTTGCGCTGGGGTTCAGGATAGAGCACCCGCAGGCGTGGCTGGACGCGGCCCAATACGGCGAAGAGGACGCCAGGGGGGTGAGCGCGGCTTGGGTTTGTTTGTCTTTCCGAGGGGGGGTGGGGCGGTTTTGGGCCGCACGCAGCCCGGCTGCGACCCACTGATGAAGAGGGGACGGAGTGAAGTTTGTGCCATCATGTCCTGCTGCATGCACCAGGGCGTGTGAACTTGACAGGTTTGCAAGTGCACGGCGCAGCGCCAGCCAGGCGTTGCAGGCTGGTTCAGAGCGACAGGCCCGCACATCATGGCTGCTCTTTTTGCCCTGATGGGCGCGCTGCATAACAATGCATTCAGGGTTGAGCCAGCCATGCAAGTCCACACAGGGAGTTGAGAGCGCGCTGATCCTGTTACGACCCCCTTTTCGTTCCTCTGACAGGTCATGCGTGGCAAGGGGAAGCTGCCCGTGGCTGACTACACACTGGCTACCAACATCCTGGACAGCCTGTCAGCACCTGCACCCCACGCAAGCCACGGTGGCAGCAGCAGCAGCAGCAGCAGCAGCCGCAGCAGCAACAGCAGCAGCGGCGGCGGCAGTGATGGGGCGACCAGCAGCGGGAGGGGGAAGCACGAGCAGCAGCAGCAGCAGCAGCAACAGCAGCGTGAGGGACAGGCTGTGGAAGTCGGAAGGGCGGAAGGGGTGGTTGTTGGCGGCGGCGATGAGGGTGACGGGGAGGGCAGCAGGGGGGTGTACTCGTTCTGCATGTGCCCTGGCGGCCAGATCGTGCCCACCAGCACGAGCGAGGACGAGCTGTGCATCAACGGCATGAGCTTCAGGTGCGGGGAGGAGTCTGCGCGTGCGCGCGTGTGTGTGCGTGCGTGTGAGTGTGTGTGTGTGTGTGTTTGTGTGTGTGTGTGTGTGTGTGTGTGTTGTGCGCGCGCGGCACTTTGTGTTTTCAAATGTGTGTGTTTTGTGTGTATGTGCACACGTGTCACTGCATGCATGCGTGCGGCAGCTGCATGGCCGCCTGTCCTGAGCCAGCCGTGCGTGCCAAGCCTCCCTGGGTTTGCAATCCAACCTGCACCCATCCAGCCTGTTCCCTTCTCAAACGCAATTGCACTCCCCCTCTCCACCACACGTTCTCCCCCGCTTCGCGTCCCAGCAAGCGCTCCTCCCCCTGGTGCAACTCGGCCCTGGTGGTGACAGTGCGGCATGGCGACTGGGCGCACCTGGAGGCCGCCCACGGGCCGCTGGCCGGCGTTGAGCTGCAGGTGTGAAACTCAAACAATGCAAACACCTGTGTCAACCTTCCATACCGTATTGTTGGCTGTCGCGCTCGAAGGCCTTGTTTATCAGGCTCAATCGGGCTTTGTTTTTGGGCGCGTTTGCACACCGGTTGCTCTCTTGGCGCGCGGCTTCCCGCAGCGCGAGATGGAGCGGGAGGGCGCGCGGCGCGGCGGCGGCGCGCTGATCGCGCCCGTTCAGCGGGTGGACGACTTCATGGCAGGTGCGGGGGCGGGACGCTGCCGCGTGGGCGTGCTTTTCCTTGCATGGACGCGTGCGCGTCCTATTCTTAGTCGGCGGCGGGGCAGGTGGCCGTCCTGCCTTGAGCAGGAGCCATGTGGCGCGGCGAAATTCACAGTTTCTTTTTTGCTGCAAGATCTGGCCAGTCATCGCTGTGAGACGGCCCCCTGACACTTTCCGGAAACAGCATCACGCACATTCCGGACCGCCACCACACAACATGCAAGCATGCCCTCTCTCAATGCTGCAATTCGTGCGCTGTCACTTCCATTGCCTCCTACCCGCCAGGGCGCACGTCTGACCCCGCCGCGCTGCCCTCGAGCTCGTACCGCCTGGGCATAGCCAGCGCCCCCCTGCACGACCTCTACCCAGACTCCATGTCGGCCGCCATCCGCGCCGCCTTGACCAGGTTTGACCGGGCGGTGGCACGCTTTAGCCGGTGGCCTGCCGCTCGCTCCGAGGGATGCATTTTCCCCGCCACTGCCGAAGATTGTCCATACCTAGCGCGTGACAAACATTTTTCGCCTGCAACTGTCTGGGTCGTGTGCCCCTTGTGGCACTGACGGCTCCTCAGCTGTCTCATTTTGGCACTACCCGCACCCTGCACCGCGTTTGACCAGGTTTGACCGGAACCTGCCCGGCTTTGTGGCGAGCGGCAAGGGGCTGCTGCACGGCGTCGAGACGCGGACGAGCGCGCCGGTCCGCATAGAGCGGCGGGCAGACGACTGCTGCAGGTGCGCATGGGCGCAAACCGCAAGCGCGGCCGCTATGTTGAGTGCGTGGGCGCGCGTTCGGCAGCCCGCCCCGCTGTTGGGCTCGCCTGTGCGACCCGTCATCCTTTGGTTTGCTGCAGGGGCGGGGGTGCTTCTTGGTGTGGTGTTGGCCGGACCCGTGCCAAAGGTGTGTGCAGCTCCATTGATCACCATGCAAACTTTGTGGGCCCCAAGACGAACGGCCAAAGTGCTTTGCCCCTGACCAGCCTGCTTGGGCGGTTCCTTCCGCGCCAATTCAAACCGAATGCAGCGTCTCCCTGGAGGGCCTGTTCCCCTGCGGCGAGGGCGCCGGCTACGCGGGCGGCATCGTGTCGGCGGCGGTGGACGGGCTGCGTGTGGGGGAGGCCGTGGTCGCCTCCCTCACGGGTGTGCACCTCAGGCTCGGGTTTTGACGCGCGAGGGGACCCCCCCATCCCCCATGTTGGTAGGACTCAGGTCCTGCTGGCTGGATTGGCGGCGGCGGGGCGCCCTCAGGGCACCAGTGTTGACCTGATACCAGGTCAATGGCGGCCGCAGCGGCGCGCCTGATGCCAAGTCTGATCCCTCATGTCGAGTTGTAACATCACATGTTTGTCGTTCAGATGTTCCAGCTATCGTAGTGGTCGACATAGCACTATTGCAAACAGCAAGTTTGCGGGTGCGGCCGACACTGCCGGCTCAGCGCCACGGCTGCAGGCGCCAGCACATTGGTGCATGAAACGCTCAAGCCGGGCCGAGCCGCTGCCCAGCCCGCGCCGCCACCAGGCGCCCCGCGCCGCCCGCCGCCGCGCCGCAGCCCGCAGCCGCCGCGCGGCCGCCACTCCCCTCCCCCGGGCACCGCCTCACAGCCACGCCATGGAGATGCCCACGCCGCCGCCGCCGCTCTGCAGCCCCCCCGCGCCCCGGCTGTCCGCCGCCTCCTGCACCTGGCGCCCCAGGGCCTCCAGGCGCTGCACTATGGCCTCCTGGCGCTGGGCCAGGCCCTCCACAACACTCATAAGGTCCATCTGGGGGCGGAATTCAGGGGGAGAAATGTGAAATTTGCTTGAGGGCGGGTCGGTGGCGTGGCAGCGGGCATGGGTTACACAAGTGTTCACGATACATGCCGCCGAGGCGGCTGGCTTGCCCGCGGCGGGAATTCGCAAGCAAGATCAGCAGCGAGCGGGACGGGCTGGCCCTCTCAGCTGAGGTTTTCAAAGGGCCGCCGGAAGCGGGGGCGCACAAAGAGCGGGCGCGAGCCGGGGTGCGTCCGGCCGGGGTGCGTCCGGCACTGCGGTCGGGGCTCGCGGCGGCTGTCTGGCCGTCTGGGCGGGCGGTCCCCTACCACCCCCACCCCAAACTTCCCCTCTGACCTGCGCCTGGTGGAACTGCTGCAGCACCTCCAAGTGCAGGCTGCGGACGTCCTGGCGCACGGCCTGGAGTGAGGGTGTGTGTGTGTAATTGTGTGGTGTGTGTGTGTGTGTGTGTGTGTGTGTGTGTGTGTGTGTGTGTGTGTGTGTGTGTGTGGGCGTGCTTGCATGTGAAGATGACTGCATGCGTGTAGCATGCGGAGTGCCCATACGCATGCAAGTCATTCAACACCCAGATGCCCCATGTTGGGTGTGCCGCGCCCAGCTGCATCGCCCGGCCCACGCGCCCGCGCGGGGAGCATCGGCCCCATCACGACACCGCCAATGCCTCGCGCGCCTGGTCCCCCGACTGCACCCCCCCCCGGCGCTCGAGCGTCTGCCCGCGCCCCTCTCACCGCCGTCTGCTGGTCAATGTATGCGCGGAATACGTCCTCCCGCAGCATCATCCCCGCCCCTGGCCCCGCAAACACCCCGTCCACGCCCGCGCCGGGCCCCGCCGCCGCCGCGGCTGCGCCTGCCTCCTGTGCCGCCCGCGCCGAGGCCGCGCCCGCGGCGCCCTCCAGCGCCGCCACGGCAGCGGCCTCGACGGCGGCGCTGGATGCGGCTGATGCCGCGCGGCTGCCGAGGCCGCCGCCGGCCGCGTTGGTGATGGCTGCAGCCCGTGCGGCGACGCCAGACCCGGCTTGCTGCCTCGATCCCGCATAGCCCCGCGGCGTCACTCCCGCCGCTGCCTGCGCCGCTACGCCGCCGTGCCGCGCGCCGCCCGCGCCGGCTGGCGGCCCCGCCTTCGCGCCCCCCGGCGGCGGCGGCGCCGCGTCCGCGGCGGGCCGGTTTTGAGTGTCCAGAGCCGCGCGCTCGCCCCTGCTGCCTCCGGCGGCGCCCAACACAGGCTGCTGCGGACGCGGCGGCGGCAGCTGCGGGTCGCTCGCAGCAAACTGCGCGATGCGACTGATCGGCGTCCCGTCCGCCGCCGCCAGCCCCTGCGCGGCTGCGAGCCCGCGGGTGACGCCGACGCCGGGCGTGACCATGAACGCGCCGACCCCCGACGCGAACGAGTCGCCCGGCGTCGCCGCGGCCGCCGCGCCGGCGCCGGCAGTGTTTGGGCCGGTGGGCGTGCGGGTGTCGGGGTCGCTGAGGCGCACCGGGGACACCGCCCGTGTGAAGCCGTCCTGCACAGCCAGAGCAGCCAGAGCGGCATGCGGGGACAGCGAGTCATGACGATGCGATGAAAGTCAACGCGGCGCCGATCAAGATCAGATCACGATCAACAGGATCCATGCCACAAGCTGCTGCATAATCTGCAACGGGCACCAAGCCATTGAAGCCCTTTGTAGTCCCCGCTGCGAACCGAGGCAGCCCCAAGTCCCTGAGAGCCCAACCGCCCACCAGGCTGAACCCGGACACGGCTGAGGGCTCCGGCGACACGCCGCGCGCCGGCTCCGGCGTCACCGAGCGCCCCGCCGCGGCAGCCGCTGGTGCGTGCGGCCCGAAGGCACCAGCAGCTGCGGCCGGGGCGCCCCTCGCGGCCAAGATCGCGTCCCCTCGGCCGCCCTGCGCGCTCAGGGCCGCGGCCGCGGCCGCAGGCGCCGCCGCCGCCGTCAGCCGCCCCGGCGCGCCGCTGATTGCGGCCCCGCCCGCCGAGGCCGCCGCTGCCGCTTTGTGCTTTGACCCAGCGTGCGGCGCGTGCTGCCACCGCACACAGGCTACCGGCCCCGCCGCGTCCCCAAAAGACCGCGAGCCGACCTCCTGGCCGGGGCGCCGCAGGTCAAACACCAGGACGGCGCCTCCAGACGTCCCCACTGCCAGGCTGCGGGCATCGAAGCGCGCGTCCAAGCACGTCAGGGGCTGAGACGCCTGCGCGGCAAGGGTCTCCTGCGGTGGGGAGCAGATGACGATGTCCGCGGGCACGTGTGTGTGCGTGAGTTTATATGTATGTTGCGTGCGTGTGTTGCATGCATGTATGTGTGTGTGTGGGGGGGGGACACGGTAGAGGTAGTGATCTGCTCAAGCTGGAAGCGCTCACGCGTACCGCATTCAGTCACGGGCTCGTGAGCCATGTCGGTGTTGCGGCAGTGAGTGGTGTCGCAGGTAGCAATCAGCAGCAGCGCGCAGCCCGCTCGCAGGGCCCGCCTGCTCAGCGCCCCGCCGCGCCCCGCACCTGCTGCTGCTGTGTCGGCTGCCGCGTGTCCAGCACCAGCAGCCGGCCATCTTTGCCACACGAGTATAGGACGTGCGGGCTGTCCGGCGCGAAACGCACGCCCGTGGCGCCGCCCTGCGATTGGCAACAGATGTTTTGGGTCAAAGACGTGAAGTGAGGTCCTCACACAGGACGGCCCTGGTATGGCAGATTTCATAAAGTGTTTTGCAGCGGTTGCCGACGCCGTTTCGAGCCTCCAAGGTTGCGCAAGCTCAGGGAGGCAAGCAGCTTGTTCCAGCAGATGCCTGGTCCCAAGTCACGCTGCGCGCCGCACGGCAGCAAGCCGCGCCGCGCGGCATTGGGTCAAGGAGCGCGCGGCGCCGCACCCGGTGCAGCCGACGCAGCTCGTGCCGCGCCGCGCGGGCCGCGACGCTCCAGACGGCGACGCCGCCGTCGTCCGAGGCGGTCGCCAGGCGGTCGGCGTCTGAAGCACAGAACTGCAGCGCGGCGGACCGCGCGGCGCCGTCGTGGGCGAGGGAGGCGAGCTTGGCGCCTGTTTTGAAGTCGTGGAGCATTACCTGGCCGCCAGCACTGCACAGGGGTGTGTGCGCGTGTGTGTGTAGCAGATGTGAGCGAGTGTGTGTGCGTACATGTGCGCGATGTGTGTGTGTGTGTGTGGGTGTGTGCGTGTGTGTGTGTGTGTGTGTATGTGTGCGCGTGCCAGCACGACACTCCCTCTTGCAAGGACTCCCTCTTGCAAGGATTACTTGGCAAACGCTGACCGCCCTCATACAGTTGCTTTTTCTTTGAACACCGCACAGCCCAAGCCAGGCAGACTGCGGCATTGCATACACTCTGCGGCCGAAACGCTCGCCCAGCGCTAGGCAGGCGTGTTGGGGCCCAGCGGCTCGGCGGCCGAAAGGGGGCGGGGTGAGTCGTGCTCGCACCTGGAAGACACCAGCAATGAGTCGTCGGGGCTGATGGCCAGCGCGGCCACGGGTGCCTTGTGGTCGATTATGCACTTGTTGCCAGCGCCCTGGTCACCGGGGCGGCCGGCCGAGGGGCGGGTTGGGAGTTTGCGGCGGCAGCGTCGCGCTGCTGCTGCCGCAGCTGCTGGCGCTGGTGCGAACCTGAACATTCCCGCTCCTCATGGCTGCTGCCGAGTGGGCGCATCTGCTGAAGATGCCTCCGCCCATGCTGTGCCCATGGGCCACCGCGCGAAGCGCGGCCCGGCACGGCGGGGCCGCGTTTCGCGGCCGCCGCCGCTCCCTCGTGCCCCCGTTG